CGATTGTCTACAAATGAAAGTCTTCTTTGGAAAGAACTACACTGTTAAACTGTGCTCTGTACATGAATGTATCGTTGTTCAAATAGTTTCTCAGTAAAAGAACATGAACGATTGATGATGAGTTGTATTCATGTATTCTCAATGAAAACTTCCATTTTGCATAGGTATGTCACATGAATGATAGGAAGAAGAAACAAAAGTTTTCCTGAAAATCCGCTGTAATTCAACATGAGCATAATGTTATGTTAATTGGTATATTTGAATCGTGCTTGTGGAAAGGTTAGCCAGTCTTTTGATGTCGAAGGTATCGATTTCGGTACATTGTGATCGCTTGGTAAACCAGCAGCCATATCTAGGGGTGAGGGTAAATATCGCCATGCTCGGTGTGGATCTAAAGTCTCGACACTAGCGCGTGAGATATCAAATATTTTCTTTTGTGCCGCACGAGGTTGATCATTTCGGACGAATTCATGTTGAGTAGCTCCTGGCATAGATGATGGTTGCATCTGTATCGGTGCTCGAAATCCCATTGGTGCAGCGATAGATTTTCGAGTTTGAGCGTCATTCTGGTGGGCTCCGATGTAAAGCCATTGGCTGATGCACTCAATCAAAGGTGCTGCATATAGCTGTTTGATCCAATGTATAGGAATAGCAGAACGTCCATAATAAGCGCCTGCCAACTGACCGTAGATAGCTGCTGTTGAATCTGTATCGTCACCTAGATTGACAGCTTTGAGAATACCAGTTTGAAACGAATTTTCATCGCTCCAAAATGCCCAAAGCGCTGCTTCCAAGGCTTTGACAATGTAAGTTCCACCTCGAATACCACCATCGTAGCCTTGTACTTGTTTATATGATCCAAGGCTGATACGATACACTTCTTCATGAAGTCCATTCGATCCAAACCATGCTTGATGAGCACGATAAAAGTCGTTACTAAGAAGAGAATACTTCGGTTCACCACGAACTGCAGCTACGATCAGTGCGCCCAAGTAACGACAAGCATCGATCGCTCTTGCATCACCATGAGTAAGGCGTGCACTTTGACCAGAGAGTTCCACGGCAGTTTCCGGATATCGATGGAAGAAAAGTGGTACGGAAGCGAGACGGACAAGAGCACTATTTGTTGTCACACCTGGTAGGCCACAATTGGCATCGAATTCGGTGACTCGGGTTACATGACCCAATGGAAGACGATCGATTTCGGCATCGGTCGTAATATGATAATAGCTCTTGAGAGTACGTTGACGTCGCGCAAATTCTTCTAATGCATCCCGTGTTGTATTACCAATATCGAAGCAGGAACCTGTGGACGAAAGATATCCATATTTATACCACCAAAGATAGCGTACCATTTGATCATAAGGATTGAAACCTCGTTGTGTCAGCAGCGATGAAGCTAGACAAAGTGCCATTGATGTATTATCGGTCCATTGACCAGCTTTGAGACCTCGGCTACCACCGGCTTGCATGTCACGTACTGGATAATTTAAAAGATATTGTCGAGGACGATATTTGACGCTTGCTCCAAGAGCATCACCAATTGTCAAACCCACTAGAGAACCAACCACACGATCAAATGTTTGGTTATCGCCAGGTCGAAAATTGGGTAATGTATACGTAATATTAGCGGGAAGTACAATGTTCGACGGAGTCGGAAAATTGATCATCGTTAAAAAAAACTACTCGAAAGAAATGAATTTCAACAACAAATTAACATATACATGTTACTGTTAGAATAAATCCCTTTTGAAAAATATGAGAGTTATGGAAGTCATCAATAAGAATATCTTACCAAAGGATGCGGTTTTCTTCGATTATTCTTAAAAAAGGATCAAAGAAATACGTTTTCGGTCTATAATGTTCTATAGACCTCGTCATAAATCATGCTCAAACCCAAAAATGTGTATCATCTTCCGAATGCTACCATCTGTACACTGCTAAAAAATGGCCAACAAGGTTTATTGATTGAAAACTAGCATACAAGGTGGATCAAAAAACATTTTACCATATAAAATATTGAATATCTTCACCATAGCTTGACCAAATGGGCTGAGGATTTTTTTGGCTAATGACAAAGGATTGTTCATAGTTCATATCCACGAGGGAAAGATTGAAAAGAACCGCTTTGAAATACCATTATTGGCTTCAACAAAAATATGCCATCCTCTCACACGTTGCGAAAAAGCAGCGCAGCAAGGGAAAGTCACTTTGTCAAGAGAAAGTACTAATAATTCAATCATCTTTTTAGGTATTATATGCTATTACAATGTTATTTAGATATGGCTTCTTCCTTTCTTCCCTCTATCTACTCGTCTAGTTCACATGGATAGTTTGCGTGATATGAATACTTTTCTTTTCTGTGCAGTTGATATATCCGACCTAGCACTTATTGTATGCTTATTTAATGTTGTTTCTTCCAGCATTATTCGACGTGTTTTTTATTCGTCATCTTCTGTGCAACATGTAAGCTTTTTTTCTAAGCTTATATAACTGAAGATGCAAAGGGTCTGAATGTGAGTGAGGGTGCAGCTAAAGACAAGGTACTCATCCACATCCATATCTGCACTATTTTTTTACTGCTTATGGGAAGATAGAAATTTTCACTAAAGCCAATAGTGAAACTTTAAAACGGTTCTTTATGATCGTTTCCCTCATGAATGTAAATTATGAATGTTCCTTTATTATCAGTAAAAAGAATCAGCCCATTTGCTCAACTTATGGCGGAGATATTCATTTTTTCATGATGAAGTGACTATTGGGCTATCCTGTACAAAAAGAATTCTATCTATCGGAAAGTAAAGAAATCTACAGAACCTTAAGCGTATCTCGAAAAATTAGACCAGTCTCTTTGATAGTCATACGATATATCGTGCATACTATGGTTTATGTCATGTACGAGAGAGTTTCGATGGTGTGGGAACAAAGAATGTCTTAATTTTCTTTCCATGAATAGTGTATTTTGGTGGATAAATTCTGAAAATATATGTCGCTATACTTCTATCGATGGCTTGTATGTAAGTTTTTGGAAACCGGTCGATTTTACTCTAGTCAAGACAAGAAAACATGCTATTAACCTCAACTGCTCCCGATGCAGATGAATCTATTTCTTTCGAATAAATTACCTTGGTTAATAAACCACCCTTGCTGTTGTGCGCAATAAAGAAGAATCGAATAAAAAAGCTCTTTCAAATAGTTGTTGTTCACTTATTGATTTCGCTCAGAGACCATTCAATTCGAATGGTTGCTGACAACAAGGCAAGCAAATGATTCGTGTGAGAGGCGAACAACGAATAATAACATTACTTTTGAGTCCATTATTGCACAGACTAAAAAGTACGAAGTACATGTTTATGCTACTTCAAATACTTTGATTTGAAAAAAGAACAGACAAGCACAACAAAAAAGAATCGAAAAACTCACAGAACATCTGTTGCATTCTATGTACATGAAAACAGTTATGAGCAGTCTTCCATTATGATCCACTCTCACGTTCAGAAATAATCGTGATCTGATTGGTTGTGGCACAGTCTTTACAACAAGATACGCTAAAAACAATTGTAAAGCGTTAGTGAAACCCTTAGATGTGCACAAAAACAAAACAATGAAGTTTTTATGATACAAAACATTGATTGATCTTTTTTCCTTCTTACATGGTCTCGTGACACTACTTTGCTGTTTTATAACTTTTCTTGACCGTTGTTCATGCCGTCAAACGACCTAATTGAGTAGGGCACATCATTCTGAACAAACAATAAGACTAAGCGTATCCATATTAAATGCACCATGCCGTCAACATTTTGTTACAAATCGATTCTTACGAGCTGCATGATTTACAGAAACAGGACGAATAGAGCATGTCGCAAAAGTTTTGAAACGATTGTAAAACTCATCCTTCTTGCATTCAACAGTAGCAAACTCCTTGTGACTATGGATGATTATTTTACCTTCTCAGTACTAATTAACTATGAAGTTTGATGTCAATAGCTTTTACTTTGGATCAGAAACTATACAAAACAATATCATGTACTATTTTATCAAATTTCTCCATCAGCCACTTGTTATTTTTAAATCAAAACAATTTTTCGAATTTAAAAGAAATACATATTAAGTTATCAATGTTCATGTATTTGATTGTCATTCTGTCCCATCATTAATTTTAATCATGCTGGTATTTCATCTAGAATTCCTTGACATAGAGTGACACTATTTTGGACTGACTCCTTTTTCTAACGACGAAATGGAGGAATAACTTTATTGTCACCCTCGCCAATAAATGTTTATTAAGGTACTTCTTGGGCTCAAAATGTAACTAACTCACATACAGCATAAGTTTGTATAGGGAAGAGAAAAAGATAAATGACCAACATAAGAGTTTCTAAACAAGACTTTCAGAGTTTCTGCAGAGCTTGAAAAAGGTAGCTAAAATGATTTATAGAATGTTAGTTGCGGGAATAGATTAAATGCTGTCGATCCTACAGCAATGCTAAAAGTGTTATGTATAGTCAAGACCCGAAAGCCATCAAAAAAAGGTTTTCAAAGCATGAAAAATATTGTATGGAACCTATTGAAAATTCTATTAAATAACTAGTTAAAGAAAATTTTATGAGAAGAACTTGAATATAGAAAGTATCGATTCGTTTGGAATGCATAATCATGTACCACAGCAGTATTCACATTCGTGATAAGAATTCCTACAAAATTTTCTGAGAAAAGTAAATCACATTTTCATAAAATGTCATTTATCAGCCCTCTTTTCAGAAACGAATCAAACATTCGAATGGTTTCTATTTGGATAGGACCTATAAGCGTGGTCGGAACCTAAAACGCATTTACTACATTGAATACAGATCTATTCACAAGTGCTCAAAACTCAAAGAAGGGCCATACATTTGCCAGATTAAAAACTCCCAAAAATCCTAAATCTAAAATATTTGAGTAGGCCTTCGTTTTCGATTAATATGTATTCCTACTCAAAAATCCTCGATGAACATTATTAGACTCGACAAATAACAAAGGAAACTTCCAGTGAATCAAAAGCGTTTTCCAATAATAAAAAATTCTCGCTCACTTTCTTTCCAAAGTAGTGATAGGATTTTATGGATTATTTTTGGTTCGTCGTTCTATCATGCAGCTCAATAAGACTATTGGCACTTCCAATTCTATTAGCCGAGCAACGTGCTCAAGTGGTATCACTGGTACGTCAGAAATTCATTTTGTTTTTATCAAAGATGAAAGAATAAAGAGAGCATGTGTTTTAATAGTTTCTTACTTACTACTGTTTAAATTCAACGAGAAATCATAGTAGATCGTTCGAAGCGCGAAGAATGCAGGAGTACAATATGATTTTACTACTACTACTCAGGGTGTGCATTCTGTCGATTAGGAACGGTTCTGTCCAGACTATTTTAGTCAAAGACATCGGCATTGATTATGATGATCAAATAGCATCGACGTATATTTTAACCAGAGCCAATATATTCGACTTGAACCTAGTCGTTTGTTCCATATTTAATGCATCAGAGCAAATGATAATCGTCGCGAAAACTCTGGATGTATTGAATTGCTA